ACCTCCCACAGATCTCAATTTTAGCATAACAACAACGAAGGAAAAATCAACAAATAACATGGAACGAAAAAAAGTAAAATTGGACAACGAAATCGACGGAAAAACGAAAATGCAGTAGAAATTCGAAGGTAACTGAAGTGGCTGAAAACGAAGAAGAAGGGGAAACACGGGAAATTAAAGCAGAGAGAAAGGGGGAGCGAACCGTTTGATTTTTTGAACAAAGGAGTAGTACTGTAATTTCGCTACCTTTTAAAATTAATTAAATATTGAAGTGGGCCGGACATATTTTGAGACGTTAGGTCATTTGAATATTTGATAAAAGGTCATTTGAGTCATCTTGATCAACTTTCTACTAAAATATTTGATAATTACAAAAGAAATAAAAAAAGTACGACTGCAAGTTTTTTTCCAAAAGGAATCACACCGCCTCCGACTGGAGAAGTTACCGGAAAGAACCGAAGGACTGAGAGATTTGAGCGGGAAGAAAATCTTGAGCTGAGGGGACGGAGAGAAAACATGCAGTACAAGAAAGACCTCTGCAGAAATTTTCAGCGTGGCAGGTATGGTGAATTTCCTTCCTCTTTCATCGCCATATTCGACAATTTGATCCTATTTTCATCTTACCCGGATATTGCTATTTAGTGCACTGAAGACGATGAGAATTTTGTATAATTTGATCCGACCCAATATGATGGATTAAGTGGGTTTTGTTTCTCTTTCTGAAACCTACAAGTGATTAATATTTAAGCTTGTTTAGGAGTGTTGATTTTGGCGAGACGAGAATCCTCATTCTCGTGGAGTCTTGGTTGGGCAAAGACAAGTTCTGGGGAAGGAAGAGATTTTTTAATTTCCCAAGTTCGTTTATTGGATTTATAAAATGTGAGAGTGATTGGATAGGGAGTAGCACCCTTTCAAGTAGAGTTAAAGATTGGTCCAAATGCAGTTGGCAATGCACGATGAACAAATTCAAATTTGGAGAAACCTTTTTGTTGCATCATGATGGAATCTCGTTATTTTGTTCTCTAATAGAAGAAGATACATTTTCTTATATACATTTTTAAATTTGTAATAATTATGTTATTAGACCTTAATGACCTAACCAAAAAAAGAGAGAGATTAGAATCGTCTATTAGATTAGGAGAAAATTATTTTTCTTTAATATCTTGCTATTAGGCCTACTTTTTTGGTTCATTCTCTCCCCAGGGTCCTCACCCAATTAAATAATATTATGTTTTTCCAAGCCAGTTACTGATGGAACTTATTTATGTTTATGTGCTGCTTCAATCTGTCCTATTTCAGTTGCAAATATGGTGAAAGGTGTAGATATATCCATGCCACTCAGCAACCACAAAACTCAGGTAGCTTTGGCTTTGGGATGCAAACTAGTTCACAACATCAGCAAAAACCTAATCCCTTTGGATTTGGAGTTCATAGCACCGGTCAGTCTAAAGCAGCTGCTGATTTTGGATCGAAACAAAACCAATATAAGGTCATTTCTCATCTTAGAGATCTTTTGATAATGGATGTTTGAAGTTATAATCAGCAACATTATTATTATTATTTTTTTAATCATAAACAAGAATATATTGTTAAAATAAGAGGTAATGTCTATATAAGGAGTTAGAGATAAGGAATCCTTCACATAAAAGAACATTAGATTACATGAAAGAATACCAGTTAGTATATAGTTACGCAACAGAAGGCCCAAGAATGCCCAAAAAAGACATAATATTGTGGGAGTAATACTAACTCTAGCCTGTGTTTATATGTTTGTCTGTCTGTTTTTTTTTTCTTTTCAATCATGTCTTGCATCACTCTGAAATTGAAACCTTCTAGTGACTTTTATCCCTTCCTCAATCTCTTATATTCTTAAAAGTCTAACTTAGTGTAGTGCATTGGTCCTTTATAGTTAAAACATAACTGTGGGTATATTCCTCGTGTGTGTTAGGCTAAAAATAGATCTTTCAAATTTTATTTGATCCTTTCTGTAGTAGTAGTGTAGAAAATTGGAAGGAAACTGAGCTTTCATCAAATTGGACAGTTTCGATCACAGATAAAAAAAGAAAAAGAAAAAGAAATCCCAAACAAGCAAACTTAACCACCGATGCACTGTAAATCAACAGTTCAATTTGATGAATTGAAGAATAAGATAATAAACAAATGAAACAAGCAAAATGAAGAATAAATAGGGCCAATTTATCACCGTCTTTACACTTTATTGGCTGTTCACCATCACAAGTTACAAAGGAAATTCTTGACTTGACCCTGCTCCAAAATATCTTTATCATCCACCTTGTATGCTATCCTTGTTCCTTAGGTGCACACAAGATGTTTTTTTTCCTTCTTTTTTTTTTCCATAATTGGCCATTATTCACTTGTGAGTTGCAACTTTGTGTGATAGCCCATTACCACTTTCAAGCAGAGTACTACCACTAGTTGAATCGAAATGCAGTTGAATAGACTCTGCTGCTTGGAAAATAAAATTTTTATAGATATTATAAAATTTGTAAATGTGGCATGGGTCATCATTTGTCGACACTAACCACCTTGGGAGAGCTGAGAAGCATTGTCAGAAGGGTTGTGTTATGTTTGTTGTTGATTGGAAATAGACACGGTTGGGTTAAAACATCATGCTGTTGGCTCCATGCATTGACATTGGAAAGGCATAAGCATTCCACTTTTCACACTTGCTCTTGACTTGTCTTATGTCTTCCATTCTATCCACGGGCTTAGTTTAGGCAGAATCAGCTTAGGTGTGAGACTGTTTTTGAAAAGAGCTGGTTTTTGTGCTGAACAGTTCAATTTTTTTATATTCAGATTAGATTTTGTGTTTCCATACTTTTTTTTGGTTCTATGACTAAACATGATTGTAGGAAATTATTGATATTAACCAAGCCTTCGAGAAATCAATATGCTTATGTTTAGAGGGGTTGAGAGCTGGGAGGATTAGGGGTGGATTCTTTGGAATATTGGCTTTTTGGCTGTTTTGGGGGGCATTTGGTTTGGGAGAAATAGTATGATTTTAGAGGGGTAAGAGGTCTTGGGAAGAGATTTAGTCTCTTGCTAGGTTTAATGGTTCTCTTTTAAGCTTCAGACTTTTGTAATGGTTCGCCAGACCTCATTCTGTTGGATTAGAGCCCTTTATTTATAGTTAATTTTATCCCGACTTCTTTTTTTGGAGAGTCTTTTTGTATGTCCTTTTGTATTTTTTCATGTTTTTTTAATGAAGGCTCTGTTTTTAAAATTGCAAGCTTATGTTGCATGCATCCATGATATTTATAATATTTTTCTTTTTAACAACCCAACAATGTCAACAAACTAAATCTCCTAAGAAGTTACCATTGGATCTTATGGCCCTGGAAAAGAATATTTCTCTTCTATGAGGGGTTAGAAAATGAAGGCTTAAATAAATTCTCTCTCTGTTTTATGACTGAGATTATATTCTGAATTTAACTTGTGAAAGCTTCTTTCCAATAGCCATTTGAAAATAAGTGGACTCGTTCTTCCACACCTTCTGGAAATGCTCCTTCTCAAAAATCAGACAATCAGCCCCCATCAGCTAATCACAAGTGCGTGCCCAATCTTTTGGTCATCAAAATTATGTTTACTCTGTTTGCTGCTGTTTAGTCATAAATGTCAATCACTTAAAATAAATTGCAAATTCATGTATATGAAGATGCACAGATGGGGAGTCTTGCAAGTGCCAAATTGTTGAAGATTTTCAAAACGAGAGGCCATTATGGAAACTGACATGCTATGGCCACAGTAAAAGGTCTGGTCATGTCACAAACTCTTGTCATTATACTAAAATATTTATTCTGAATCCTTCCCTACAGAATAAATTTTTTAGCATCAACCAATCCTGCTATTGATGTTTATGTATTTTTCATTGAAAACAGAAACTTGGAATCCTTGTTTGAATACAATTTTTTTAAGATTGCATCTAAAATTGCTTCTAAAGATTGCATCTAATGCATATTTGGGTTGGAATACTTTTCATCAAAGAGCATTTTCCTGATAAATATATCTTCATATTCATTTTGTAAGAAGAGATTTATTTCTTTGTTGGATATTACAGGTGCCTAAATCTCCATTTTGGTTCATTTGAGTCTTCTTCCAATTAACCACCATGTGTGAGTCACTGTTTGTGTATGGAACTTCCGAAATTCATGAGACTGGCAAGGGAATGGGATTATTCTCAGATGACTTATTGAGATTTTTCATTAAGAAAACCAGCAGAAAAACAGAGAACAAGTCTTCCTAGCACTTAAAAGAGACTAGGTTTCTCTCTTTCTTAGAACAAGTCTAAGTCAAACACAACCTGAAAATCATGTGAATTATGGTGTCTTCCCAGACCTCATTCATGAGAGATTGGAAGGTGGACAGAGTGTTGGTTAGGCCGAATGGCATGACCAAAAATTCGTAGGGGCCCTTATGGGTGCGAAATCCTCTCTTTGATACATCTTCTGCTTAGTGTTTATAAAAGCTCGAGGCGCACTAAAGTGCAATAGCTTTCTTGGGCTTAAGCGCCAGGTCCAAAAAAAAGCACCTATATATAAAAAATACAAAAATATATATGTACATATACATAATAATAAATACTCCATTTTTATAATAATCTGACTAGCATGCAGCCTCTTTTGTGAGCCTAGAAAATGCTACTTTAATGATCTGTCTTCAAATTTATCTTCTCTTCCCTCTAAGTTCTACTTCTACCTTTCCTCGATTATTCTTCCCCTCTCCCAACCTTTCTTCTTCACCTCTCCCAACCTTTCTTCTTCACCTCTCCCAACCTTTCTTCTTCACTTCCTTCTGCCTCTCTTTCGACCACTTTTCTTCCTCTTTGACCAAATGAGAGAGAGAGAAATTTAACAAATGAGATGAAAGCATGAGGAAGAGAGGAATTGTGGAGAAAAAGAAGGAAATGGTATGGGTTAAATTTATTTATTTTTCCTAGTTATTACAGAAGCCCCTAAGGTGCAACGCTTTGCACCTCAGGGCTTCAACGGAAGGCGCACGCCTTCCTAGTGTCGCCTCGCCTAGAAAAGGCGAGGTGTTGGACTTGCGCCTAGCGCCTAGGTGTGCGCCTGAAAGGGGGCTTTTTAAAACACTGCTTTCGCTTGAACCCAAATCTAGTGCTACTCAACTTTCAAATCCAATTTTTAGAACATTACTGTCCCGTTTAACTCGTCTAACAACTCATCAATGACCGGGATTAGAAACTTATCTAACTCGGTCTCCTTATAAGCGCCCGGTAGTTGACGTAGAACCTCCAACTCCCATCTTTCTTTCAGACCAGCAGAACGAGGCTTGAATACGGGTTGTAGCTAGGTTGCATTATCCCTGTTGTTAACATCTCCCGAACTAGCCATTCAATTTCAATATTTTGGGCATAGTTGTATGGTCAAAAATTCACTAGAGAACTACTGTCCCTTAGCACAATGGCGTGATCATGGTCTCTCTTTGGGGAAGCCTCCCAGGCATATGAATGTGCCTCAAGCACTGGGCCTAACTCGGGTGCGATAACCACCTCCTTTGGTGGTTTTGTCGTGACACTACAGCATAATTCCCTGGACTTCTTTGTGGATGGCTCGCCTTATGGCATGGAAGGAGATGGATGAATTGCAGAGGGATAGGCCACCCTTTTAACATTACTGAAGGATTCCTCATCTTGAATATCATCGTGAGTCTTCCAGTTCACATTCGTTTCTCCTAGCAAAAATAAACTTCCACCATTTCCGACTCTCGCTGTTTCAGCTTGACCCCTCGACACACCTCTTTGCCTTGATTAAGTTGTTGGTGAAGCCACGTTGTACTTGCTGGCCTTTTCCATCGATAGGTTTTGCTGCTTCATCAGCCATTTTGCAACAAAGTTGTGGGTAGCCCCACTGACCACTCACTGACCACCTCTTTGTTGCCCACGGTGCCTTGTACCTTCATCGAATGCGTGAGACTACACCCACGACAGATTTTAGTGATAAGGCGACGGGTGGTGCTGACGAACTCACGTAATCCCATTCTTCTTTTGGGACGCAAAGGAATTTTAGTTCCTTATTTTTACATTTGTGCCCTACCGTATAGCTTTCCTCGCAACAAAACAAAGGCCTTGCTCTTTTTGGTGCCTAAGCTCTACGTTTGTTAGTTTTTCTATAGGTTGTGTACTTTCGTGTAGGTGTTGCCATCATTCCTTTCGTCGTTCCCTTGTCTTTTCCAATTGACGCTGAGGGTTGTGCCCTTGTATAACTTGTCGTACGTGGCGATGGTGCCCTAGTTTTACCTGATTTGATAGCCAAATTTCTATTCGCGATTAATTGGGCCACGATTATCATCTCTTCAAGCCCAATTGGGCCACGATTATCATCTCTTCAAGCCCAATCGGACAATGCAACCTCAGTTCAGCCCTAATTTCAAGCTTAAGCCCACTAACAAAGTTCCCCTCCCAAACCATATATGGAAGAGGCAATAACGGGACTCCATAAACCTTGAACCGATGCCGATAACCCTCACGCTACCTTCTTGTTTAAGGGATTGGGAACGTTCATACAGTTGTCTCTTTTGTGACATTTGAAACCAGTTGATCAATGCTGCTGAAATTTCGACTAGCTTCGAAAGGTCGTCTATTATAAGTCTAGCGACACTAAGCCAAAGCTCTCCTAGTTGCACCATCACCATCTCTAGCCGCTCCTCTTCCAAAACGTGGTTGATGGTATAGTAACGATCTGTTTGGAACAACTAGCCTTTGGGGTTGTCACCGTCGAACAAAGATAGGTCAATTTCTCTCAACTCCGATTCTCCTGTTTGATTTACCCCCTTGAATCTCCCACTCGTCTTCCTCGATCCTCCTTCAACCGTTGGTCTGAATGTATTTTTCCCTTTGTCGCCTCTCACTATTTCGAACACAGTTGCATTAGAAGCGTCCTGGTTCCTCATT